TTTTTGCTATGGTCTCTTTAGTTTCTTTTGCATTTATTTCTGCCCTAATTTTTAAGATTTCTTTCCTTCTACTAACCCTGGGGTTCTTCATTTCTTCCTTCTCTAGTTGCTTTAGGTGTAGAGTTAGGTTATTTATTTGACTTTTTTCTTGTTTCTTGAGTTAAGCCTGTAATGCTATGAACCTTCTTCCCCTTAGCACTGCTTTTACAGTGTCCCATAGGTTTTGGGTTGTTGTGTTTTCATTTTCATTCATTTTTATGCATATTTTGATTTTTTCTATGATTTGTTGGTTACTCAGAAGCATGTTATTTAGCCTCCATATGTTTGAATTTTTAATAGGTTTTTTTCCCCTGTAATTGAGATCTAATCTTACTGCATTGTGGTCAGAAAAGATGACTGGAATAATTTCAATTTTTTTTTAATTTACCAAGGCTAGATTTATGGCCCAGTATGTGATCTATTCTGGAGAAGGTTCCGTGTGCACTTGAGAAAAAGGTGAAATTGATTGTTTTGGGGTGAAATGTCCTATAGATATCAATTAGGTCTAGCTGGTCCATTGTATCATTTAAAGTTTGCGTTTCCTTGTTAATTTTCTGTTTAGTTGATCTATCCATAGGTGTGAGTGGGGTATTAAAGTCTCCCACTATTATTGTGTTATTGTTAACTTCCCCTTTCATACTCATTTGCCTTACATATTGCAGTGCTCCTATGTTGGGTGCATATATATTTATAATTGTATCTTCTTCTTGGATTGATCCTTTGATCATTATGTAGTGTCCTTCTTTGTCTCTTTTCACAGCCTTTATTTGAAAGTCTATTTTATCTGATATGAGTATTGCGACTCCTGCTTTCTCTTGGTCTCTGTTTGCATGAAATATTTTTTTCCAGCCCTTCACTTTCAGTCTGTATGTGTCCCTTGTTTTGAGGTGGGTCTCTTGCAGACAGCATATATAGGGGTCTTGTTTTTGTATCCATTCAGCCAGTCTTTGTCTTTTGGTTGGGGCATTCAACCCATTTACATTTAAGGTAACTATTGATAGGTATGGTACTGTTGCCATTTACTTTGTTGTTTTGGGTTATTTGTGCTTTTTGTAATTAAAGATTTATATAAAAACATGCACTGCTTTGTCATTTTAATGTTATTTTAAAAGCATTCCATGGAACAAATTAGCATATAAACGTACAATGTAGTGCAGGTTATTGAATTATTTAGAAGTGAAAAATCAGAAACCATAGAAGAATTAACAAATTACTAATATATGTTTATATTATAGACAGACTTATGCAGCCATTACAAATGATAAATATATAAGGTAGTTTACTGAGAGGAAGTGATCAAAATTATATAAATATAATTTTTATTACATTAAAATATCAATAGAAAACAAGGCAAAATTTTTGTCAAATTGCTTTTGAGTGGTGAGTGATTTTTCTTTTTATAATCTCAAAATTTTAATTATAAGCTGGAAAAACTAAGTTTAAAATATTACTGAAAATACATGTAATACATCAAAATTGTGAACAGTGGTGCTTTACATGGAGGAAGAATAGAACTTTGGGGAAGGGGGGTTATTCTACAGTATATTTACTCATGTAATTTCAAAAATAAAATTACACTTAAAACTAAAAGAATTTCATGTGAAAGCCATTAATTCACTCCAGTTTTCTCTTAGGAAGCATGTTTTCCAGTAATACTCATTATTGTCTGTACAGTGTGAGAGTCTTGAGGGAATATGTAAGGAATCTTAATAGAGAAACAGTGTCAGGATAATTTACTGAAATATAACATGGGATGTAGTGGTTTGTAGTTTAGTCGCTAAGTTGTGTCCGACTCTTGCAACCCCATGGACAGTAGCCCGCCAGGCTCCTCCATCCATGAGATTCTCCAGGCAAGAATACTGGAGTGGGTTGCCATTTCCTTCTCCAGGGGATCTTCCCAACCCAGGAATTGAACCCAGGTCACTTGCATTCCAGGCAGATCCTTTAACAACTGAGCTACGAGACCAGCTCCCAAAACATGCTTTATTATTATTTTTCAGACAGAGCTGTATAAGCCAGACAGGCCAAGATAAATAACAGTCCATTTTGATCTTGGGAATGTTGGACAAAGGAGAACTCTGAACTTCCCTCTCCTCAGGCTGGTCATGTCTCAGTCTAGCAGGAGGCCAGGCCACCTTTTCCCACCTCCCTAACACCTACAAGGAGGGTGGGATCCAAACTATCAACACCAGCAGACAAGTATATGCCCTTCCAAAAAAGACTGGCCACTATGATTTTTTATTACATTTTTCTCTGCTCTATTGTAGATCCTGATTTTCTAAAATAAGTGTGCTGGGGAAGAAAATATAGTATGAAAGAGAAGAATAAAAGAAAGGAAGAGACAGTGAGAATAGTAAAGGTAAAGAAAAACAAGGGTGGTGGGGAGGGGAAGGAGGGATATCAAGGGAAACAGAAATAGACAGAAGAGAAAAGGGAAGGAGGGGATTTCCCTGGTGGTCTTATGGTTAGGACTTCAGGTTTTCACTGCCCGGGTTCAATTCCTGGTCAGAGAACTGAGATCCCACAAGCCACAAGGTGTGACCAAAAGAGGGGTAGTGGGGAGGAAACAGGGAAGGAAGCAGAGATGAAGGAATTCTTAGCACAGAACCAGTGCTCTTCTACCCTTTATTTATTTTCAATAAATAAGACTGTGTGCTTGGTCTTGATAGTAGCTTAATAGCAAAGTGAACCTGTAGGAAAGTGAGTGTGTCTGTGGAAACAGCTGCCCAAGTAGGGGTCACAGAGGGCAGACAACACACTTAGACTCTCAACTGTTCACTGCAGCAGAGTGCTGCTGGTAACCGGGGAGCACAGCAGGTCAGCAGGTCTGGCTTTGTGAATGTTCCAAGGTCGTCTTCATCTCCAGCCATGGACCAACTGTATATCAGTTAAATTTATCTCCTAAGTATTCAGTGTCAGGATTTATGCAATGAGCCCTCAAAGGCAGGTTACTGAGCCACTGACAACGGGAAGCCACCTCCCTTCCACCTGGATGTTACTAACCAGCTTATATGCCTGTAAGGCAGACCAGCCACTCTGATTCTGGGCCCTGACAAAAACCTTTTTAATAAAAAGGGTACCAGGCAGAAAGACAAAAATATCTATCAGTGAGGTAATTATGTACTGGGGTACTGATAAAAGAAGGGAACCTCATATCAATTTCTAAATATTCAAGATGACTAGAATGTCACTGGGTGCCTGGCACGGTCATTATTTCAGAACTAAAGAGGTCCTGGCCTTTTCTGGTTAGGAAAGCACGCACACACTTGTTTCCACTCTAGCTGCTCAAGCCCATGCAGAGCATGCTTCCTTGGGGATACCTCCCAGGTAACGCTCGGGCAGGGCCCGGCCTACAGGGGCATCCTGTTGCCTTCAATGCTGAACTTGACAGCACGGTGCACTTTGCTGAGTCGTTTCTGTTCTGCAAATCTCCTCTTATGCTTTTCCAATCGGCTTAGGCCCTTTTTAAGAATACCAGGCTAGAAAGAGTAGTTTGAATGGAGAATAAAGAAAGATTACTGAGCAGCAATGAGGATCACCGACTAGCATTTACAGTGATGGTGACAGTGTCTACCCTAAACACTTCATAACAGACTGACTTAAAAACAGCTAAACAGGAAGGGAGGGGTAGGCTGCAAAAGCAGGTGAGTTCTGTTTCCTAGGGTTCTAAAAAAAGAGACTACACCAAAACACTCTAGACTTCAAGGTTCAGTTGAAATAAAAGGAGTTAATATGAAGAAACTTCCCAACTGATAATGTTTCTTAAAGTCTGAACTAATGCTCACCAGTAATAATGGTCTTTATCTGACTGGACCAGGCTCCCCCATCCCTGGGGTTCTCCAGGCAAGAACACTGGAGTGGGTTGCCATTTCCTTCTCCAATGCATGAAAGTGAAAAGTGAAAGTGAAGCCGCTCAGTCATGTCCAACTCTTAGTGACCCCATGGACTACAGCCTACCAGGCTCTTCCATCCATGGGCTTGTCCAGGCAAGAGTACTGGAGTGGGGTGACATTGTCTTCTCCAAAAGGGAAAATAGCTCTCTTCAAATCAGATAAACCTTAAGAGCTGCTTAAGGGTTCTCAAACATGAAGTAAAAGACAGACAGTAATCTGCATTTCAGATCCAGCTTGCTGTCCCTGGACTGATTACTTACCCTGGATGATTCCATTTCCACATTGCACTTGGGCCTGACAACATAGTCCTTGTTCAAGGGCATGGGGACCCTTGCCTGGGCGCAGAATCCAGGATCTCCAGGTCTAAGAGCCCTACAAATGGGAAGGAGAGCACACTGCTTATGCAGCCAGCCTTAGCTGGGCCCATGCCACTCATCTGCACATCTGTGTCAAACCTCCTCTGCCCTCCCCGAAGTCACCCCATCCACGTCCTGCTGTCTTAGATGGCTTCATCATCACTCATACTGCTCTATCAATTGCTCAACTTTCCCCACAAAGCCAACTTCCTCTGCAGGATTCCTTATCCCCTCTTCTCAGCTTCAGATATAATCATGCTTCTCTCCTTTCTAAGGCTGGTTCCTCCATGAGGACTCTGAATCTCAATTTCTCTGGTCTAATGGAGTCACTTGTGTTCACTTGTGAGATGAAAAGTCAGGCAGTCAAAATGACCTCCCAAACTGAGTATGCCCATAAAGCGGTTTACATGGTTGTGCATATACAACTCATACAGTAATCTTTTGGTCTGTGTCCTGTTTTGTTAAAAAAAAACAAAAAAACTTGAGATACAGATTCACATGCAGTTTTAAGAATTAATACATGGCTAATTCATTTCAATGTGTGACAAAAACCATTGCAATGATGTAAAGTAATTAGCCTCCAACTAATAAAAATAAATGAAAAAAAAAGAATTAATACAGAGAGATCCAGTGTCTCTCTCAAAAAACAACATGCAAATCACTACAGCACACTATCACAAGCAGGATATTGATGTTGTTGTCACCCATCAACTTTTATTTTCATTTTCCCCAGTTTTACTCGCACTCATTAATCTCTGTGTATGTGTTTCTTCATAAGAAACCACCACACTATTTTCCAGAGTGGCTGTACCATTTTACCTGCAGCAGTGGATGAGTGATCTAGTTTTTCTGCATCCTTGCCAGCATTTAATGGTGTCACATACAGTAACTTTCACATACAAATTTGAGAACTACCATGCTAGACTAAAGTAAGACTGCCATCCTTCAAAAGTAAAGCCTATTCAGTGTCTGGGAATTCGAATCACTCAACTTTCAGGTAATTATCTCCACTGGTAAATGGAGATTGGATATGTGTGTATGTTGGGGTGGGGGGTGGAAGAGAAGGCTAAAAGATTCTAAACTGTTTCTATTCCCTTGTATGGTTTGCTCTATTCTTAAATATCAAGCTTCTATAACTTTCATATATGTGAATAGATTAACTGACTAGAAAATTTCCCACAACTCTTATTTCCCCCCTGAAGCCACTATTGGCAAACCTATCCACAAGTAAATGACACGTGCTCCCTCCAACTCATTTCCTGTTTTCCTTTTGTGATGTGGGTGCTGCATAACTGCCAGCACTCACTGCACAGCCCCTCTGAAGTCTACTCTCCACCACAGCGCCCTCCGGGGCAGCCTTGTCCTTCTCTAGGTTCTCTTCCAATGTGTAGGATCACAGCTCCTCACTGGCCTTCGGTGGCTACATCCCTTTTCAAAGCATTCAGTTTATTTTATTTTTTAATGCATTTAGTGGGTTTTTTTGTTTTGTTTTGTTGTACTGTGCAGCTTGCAAGATCTTAGTTCCCCAACCAGGGACTGAACCCAGGCCACTGCAGTGAAAGCACTGAGTCCTAACTACTGGACCACCAGGGAATTCCCTGTTCAGTTTATTTTTCACTGTTAATTTCATGATTCAACAATCTTTTCTAGGGAGATAACTATCAATGTCTCTAGCTCAAATTCCAGCTCTAGACCCAGGATATTTTCAGGACTATCTCATTCACCTTCTATTTAATATGTTCAAGAAAAAACTCGCCTATGACTTCACATCAACTCCTCTCCACTCTAGTGAAGGGTAACACCATCATCTCAGTTACTTAAGTTTAAAATTCTGGTTGGTATCATCAACTCTAGCCAGCTCATCACCCACCAAGTCAACTCCTGGCAGTTTTGTGCCTGCAAATTCTCCTCAACTTTCTGCTTCTCCATTACAGTTTCAGTTGACCTGTATCACTACCTTCAGCTCTTCTGCTCTGCAACCCATCCCACAGCATGCCACCAGCAGTGCTTTCCAAATCAAATTTAACTTCACATCCACGCTCAAAAAACTTTCTAGGAAACCAGAGAAGTAAACATCCCTCATCTTGATTTAAAGCACTTCAGAGTTTGGTCAATATCTGCATTTCCAACCTTATCTTCCACGACTTCAGGCACTACAGTTACTGCCCAATCACTTCAGCCACTCAGTTCAGTTCAGTTACTCAGTCGTATCCAACTCTTTGTGACCCCATGGACTGCAGCACACCAGGCTTCCCTGTCCATCACCAACTCCTGGAGCTTACTCAAACTCATGCCGATCGAGTTGGTGACACCATCCAATCATCTCATCCTCTGTTGTCCCCTTCTCCTCCTGTCCTCAATTTCTCCCAGCATCAAGGTCTTTTCAAATGAGTCAGTCCTTCGCATCAGGTGGCCAAAGTATTGGAGATTCAGCTTCAACATCAGTCCTTTCAATGAATATTCAGGACTGACTTCCTTTAGGATTGACTGGTTGGTTCTCCCTGCAGTCCAAAGGATTCAAGAGTCTTCCCCAACACCACAGTTCAAAAGCATCAGTTCTTTGGTGCTCACCTTTCTTTATAGTCCAACTGTCACATCCATTCATGACTACTGGGAAAACCATGGCTTTGACTAGATAGACCTTTGTTGGCAAAGTAATGTCTCTGCTTTTTAATATGCTGTCTAGGTTGGTCATAGCTTTTCTTCCAAGGAGAAAGTGTCCTTTAATTTAATGGCTGCAGTCACCATCTGCAGTGATTTTGGAGCCCAAGAAAATAAAGTCTCTCCCTGCTTTCATGGTGTCCCCATCTGTTTGCCATGAAGTGATGGGACCAGATGCCATGATCTTAATTTTCTGAATGTTGAGCTTTAAGCCAATTTTTTCACTCTCCTCTTTCACTTTCATCAAGAGGCTCTTTAGTTCTTCGCTTTCTGCCATAAGGGTGGTGTCTGCATATCTGAGGTTAATGATACTTCTCCCAGCGATCCTGATTCCAACTTGTGCTTCATCCAGCCCAGCATTTCACATGACGTACTCTGCATGTAAGTTAAATGAGCAGGGTGACAATATACAGCCTTGACATACTCCTTTCCCTATTTGGAACCAGTCTGTTGTTCCATGTCCAGTTCTAACTGTTGCTTCCTGACCTGCATACAGTTTTCTCAGAAGGCAGGTCAGGTGGTCTGGTATTCCCATCTCTTGAAGAATTTTCCACAGTTTGCTGTGATCCACACAATCAAAGACTCTGGCATAGTCAATGAAGCAGAAGTAGATGTTTTTCTGGGACTCTCTTGCTTTTTCAATTATCCAGCAGATGTTGGCAATTTGATCTCTGGTTCCTCTGCCTTTTCTAAACCCAGCTTGAATATCTGGAAGTTCACAGTTCACGTACTGTTGAAGCCTGGCTTGGAGAATTTTGAGCATTACTTTGCTAGTATGTGAGATGAGTGTAATTGTGCAGTAGTTTGAACACTCTTTAGCATTGTCTTTCTTTGGGATTGGAATGAAAACTAACCTTTTCCAGTCCTGTGGCCACTGCTGAGTTTTCCAAATTTGCTGGCATACTGAGTATAGCACTTTCATAGCACCATCTTTTAGGATTTGAAATAGCTCAGCTGGAATTCCATTACCTCCACTAGCTTTGTTCCTAGTGACGCTTCCTAAGGCCCACTTGACTTCGAATTCCAGGATGTCTGGCTCTAGGTGAGTGATGACACCATTGTGGTTATCTGGGTCATGAAGATCTTTTTTGAATAGGTCTTCTGTGTATTCCTGCCACCTCTTCTTAATATCTTCTGCTTCTGTTAGGTCCATCCAAAGCCATCAACAAATACACTGACTGCAATCCCAAAATAATATTCAATGGCATTTTTCACAGAAATAGAAATATTCCTAATATTAGGCTGCTAATATTGAACAGGACCTTAAACAGCCAAAAAGACTCTGAGAAAGAAAAACACAGCTGGAGGCATCTTCCTCTCCTACTTCAAAGTACATCATGGAGCTGTAGTAACCACCACAGTGAGGAGCTGGCAGGAACACAGACACAAGGACTCGAGGAAAGAATAGAGAGCCCAGGAATGAACCCACATGTATGTGGTCAGTTCATGAAAATCAAACCATGAACGAGTGAAGAAGAAAGGACAGTCTTCTCAAGAAACAGTGACAGGAAAACCGGCCACCTACACTGAAGAACATCCCTGGTCATTCTCTAGATCATCTAACAGAAATCTAACTGAAAACCTGCCATTTTGCACATGGAGCTCTTTCCCCCAGCGTCCTGAGATGGACCTCAGGTCAGCGCTCAGCTGGACATAGGAAACGCCTACTTAGTCCTCATTTTTCCCTCTTGCAGCGCCTCCCTACTGGCGGGCACTGAGTCAAGCCCGCTCCTCTCAGCCTGGACGCAGCCCCATTATCCAGAAGCCCGAGCCCTGACGGCCCTGAGGAGAGAAAGCTCCTGGCAGCCGGTCACCGAGCCCAGTCCGAAGGCAAAGCGTCCTGCGCCCGCGGGTCAGAGGGGGCTTTGGCGCCCCCTTGTGGGCCTCCAGAGAAGAGCGGGCAGCCCCGCGCTCACAGAGCCCAGAGGGCTCACCCAGAAGCAGCTCTGCGGCAAGCGCTCAGACTGGAAGCCCAAACCCAAATGGAGCAGAACAGCTCCGTGACCCTCCTCAAAACATGGCTAAGGAACAATCAGAGCCTGTATGGAATGCAGCCATAAAAAGGAACACATTTGAGTCAGTTCCAATGAAGTGGATAAACCTAGAGCGTATTAAACAGGGAAGTCAGTCAGAAAGAGAAAAACCTGGACTCTAGAAGGATGGTCCTGACGAATCTGTTCACACAGCAGCAATGGAGACGCAGACATGGAGAACAGACTTACGGACAAGGGTGGGGAACAAGAGGGCGAGGGTGAGATGAATGGGGAGAGCAGCACGGATGCATGGACACCAACCCTGGTAACTAGACAACCAGTGGGAATTTGCTGTCTGACTCAGGGAACTCAAACTGG